TTTACAGAGATTGAATTCAATTCTTAAAATATCACTGTTCAAAGAGTGTTTATATTCATTGCTAGAGTTAATTATTACCATTTTTAGATAACATTTTTTGTAAATGAAAGATTCATTTTTATCTTAGGGCTATAGAGTCTATCTTAATTGTTATATAGTTTAACACTTTATAAAACAATTTATTCCTCCTTACTATTCTTGGCGTTAGAACAATAAGCAAAATTTAAAAATAGCAAAGAGAGTTAATAAACTTTCATATACTCGTATTACTTGATAAAATACTGAAGAAGCCTTTGCAGCAATGCTTACGAGAATACTGTTATGGACCTGTAACTTTTAGAATTTACTAATTAATATCCGGATTAGTCTGACTAAGCATGATAAAACTTCACTAAGTTTTGATGACTTACCTTAACACTTATGTTCAACGTGTTTCTAAATAGTATTATGCATTATCTTTGTGTGGTGTAACATAATAACATCAAACAATAACGAATTTTAATTGAATGCGACTTTTAATATGAAGTGAAATTGAATAAGAAGTCATTGGAAACCATGGAGCACGTTTTAATATACCTAGATAATACACACTCATTGTACTACAACTAATGTAATCTAAGGCCTTCATTTTATATGAAGGGCACTTTTATTTCAACCTGTGATACTGACCTATTATGTCCTTGTTTAGTCTGTCTACTAGTCTGTGCCTAGTAATCAAAGAGGGTTGTCTTGATCTAGCCTACGGAATTTAAATCATAGGTTTCTCAGTAAAACTTTGAGATGCAACACGAAAGTTCGACTTATGACTGAACAGTGATGAGGGCATATTGACGAAAAGTATCCTGCTACTGACCTGTGAACTGATACGTTGGGAAGTGGAGAGACAGAAAACGATCTATTTGACACAGAGAATCTGGTTTACTCCTGATTTAACTAACTCAAAATAGGTACATGGATAAATATATGACTGATAAAACCACAACGCACACGGAATGAGAAGGATATAATTTTATCCAAGACAAGACAGAAAAATATGGAATACAAGGGTCACGTCTGATTAACGGCAATTTTGGAATAAAATAGAATACGACAGTAATTTATACATCAAATAGAAACTTATGAACCATAGTTAGTTGATATTGCCAACCAATACTTTGTGTCATCGACACCAAAGTCGAATATTCTATTCAAAGAACATCTAATAGCCCTCAGAAACATCAAACAAAATAATGAGGTGATGATTTTACGACCGGATAAAGGTTCAGGTGTTGTCCTAATGAATACAGCTGATTATGTCACTAAGATGAAGTCAATCCTCGACGACCAACTGATGTTCAAAGTAGATGAATCCCAAAAAGATTTGACTGATTCAACAGAAAAACGAATCACAGGCATGCTTTGAGAACTAAAAAAGAAAATGATTGATAATTCTATTTACAACGATCTAAAACCACGTGGTTCACGTCTACCTCCCATGTATGGTTTACCAAAAGTTCACAAACATGACGTTCCTCTTAGACCTATCCTATCAATGATCAACTCACCATATCATAAAGTCGCACGCTGGTTAGCAGAAAAACTAGAACCGGTTCGTCGTAGATTAGCAGCATATACGTTAAGAGATTCATTCCAGTTTGCTGATAGACTAAATCATACGAATGTTAACGACAAGTTCATGGTCTCTTTTGATGTAACATCCTTGTTCACCAATATACCACTTTTGAAACTATTGATATAATTTGTCAGAATGCTGATCTCCTACCTTTACCAGCCCCAAAATTCAAAAAACTACTACTAATATGTACAGCAGATGTTCAATTCCAATTTAACAACACCATATATCGCCAAGTCGATGGCGTAGCAATGGGTCTTCCACTAGGTCCAATTATGGCATATATTTTTATGGGGTATCTTGAAAACACGATACTTAAACAGGCAATTAGTGAAACAACGGAATACTCCAGATATGTGGACGACACATTTATTATCTGTAATAATAAACAACATGCAATCCGCCTGCTCAAACTCTTCAATAACGCTCATACTAACATACATTTTACTATGGAGCACGAACAGAACGACATGTTCCACTTTCTTGATGTTGCCATAAAACGCAGGGGAGACGGGACAGTCCAACGTTCAATTTATAGAAAAAGTAATTGGAATGGCCTCTACTTGAATTTCAATAGTTTTTGTCCAATTAGTTACAAGAAGGCATTGGTTAAAACACTATTTTACAAGGCAGAAAAGATATGTACCACCGACAAACTGGGAGAAGAATTAATGAACGTGAAAAATGTCTAAAAGAAAACTTTTATCCACAAAAGTTTATTGACAAATATAAAAGGCCCAAGGAAAAGAAGACGGTAATAACTATGGTCAATAAAAAGCCAGTATATATAAATCTTAACTTTAAAGGTGATGACGTCGCACAAATTATCAACAAGAGACTGAATACAGCGCTAGCCAGAACTTATCCGGCTGCCAAACTTTTAATTCTCTATAAAACAACATGTTCAATAACCCAATCAAAGATCGACAAGCAACCCTTTCAGATTACCGCCAACTGTATTTATAAATTTACGTGTACCTGCCAAAGCAGCTACATCGGCCGAACTGAAAGGAGAGCATATCTTAGATTCTTTGAACATGTTCCAAAAAGTCTTAGAACAAGGGAAAGAAAGACTCTGAACAGTGCAATCACCAAACATCCCCTTGATACAGGACATCAGGTAGATACCTTACAATCCTTCAGGGTGATTAGTAAGCAGCCAAACTCCAGTGTTCTGAAGTTTGCTGAAGCCATTGCCATCAGGCGTCAAAAACCTGACCTATGTATTCAAAAGGAGACGGTGGTTAATCTTTCCTCGCCCTGGTGACAAATATTCCTTCACTGCACCACAAAAATTTTTTTTTTTTTTTTTGCATTTATTACATCATTGAGTCTATTTTATTTTTTAAACTATCTTTCAAATTCATAATCTTTCAACTGAACTCTACTCACTGCATTCCTTCAATGTTATTCATTATGTAATCGATTGTTTCTAACCCACTTTTGAACTGTTGTCACAATTAATGTTGTAGAATATTCTTTCACATTAGGTATATATTTATAATACTCAGTTAGCAATTTAAACCCATTATGTAATTATGATTTTTAAATATCACAGGTTGTAAGCAGCTGACGAGAACATACGAAATAAAATGAATTTATGCTATTCTGCTAGAATCTTTGTTCTTGCTCTTTTCAGAATAAAACAGGCACTGATCTAAATGTTAGCAATTTACAGATTTCTAATTGAACTAAATAATGTTTAAAAAAATAGCTCTTCTTTTTTGTTGTTACTTTTTACTTTCTCTTTGCACATTGACAAAAACATCCGAATTTTGTGAAATAAACCCGAAAATTGCAAACTGTAACAAAATAAAAAACACTCACATATCCTTTAGCGACTAATGTGAAGAGCTCAAAATTGTAACGGTGACTCATATCCTTTCATATTTTTATCTTTTTTAAATCATAGTAACAGTATTATTTCAGATTTTCTATCCTATCATTTTACTTGACTCCTTCAAAAATGGATGAACTGTTATAATAAGTGCAGATACCATTATCCAATGCTTTCATTTCCTTACTATGCTGAAATAAAGCATAACTGTTTAAGTCGTTATATATTTATATCAGGTCAAAAGTTACTTGTGTCAGTCTTTTAATGGTAGAGTCCGCCAAAATTTTAGTTTGTGTTTAATGTTGTTAATAATTTAATTTCTTCAGTCATAGTTAGCTTAATTAATCTTGTATCAGTTATAAATAGAATTACTTTGAGAATGGTTTTCATCATGGGTCAATAAATGCTGAATAGTTAATCTATATAGAATAGATAATGGTGACTATAATATAGTAATTTGTTCACTCAGATACCTGTAATCTTTGATTCAATATTTGCTTTCTTTTTTGTACCCATTGGCTGGAGGTCTTAATCACTTTCATATGGAAAGCATTTCAAAATTGTAATCCTCAGAATTTACCGAAGTGAACGATAAATTTTACTCATGTTACATATGAAATGAGACTTTGTTCATAGTTGAGTGTTAATGTTTCCGATAATTAATCACTAATTAAAATATCAATCATTTTAGACAGTTATTTTTTGTTTCTGGGTAATTTAAGATATTTTAGTGTTACTTTTTTAATGTTTCAATGTCCATTACCTGAAGGTAATATAGTGCCGTATATATCTTGAATGTTCTATACAATCATTTTATTATAATAGAATTAAATCTAACTTATAGCATTTTTTTATATTTTATAAGACAGATTTAGAGGAATAAAAGTTGTCCTTGATAAAACTTGCTAAATACTCCATACTTTCATTATTTTAAGATATGCATTTTTTTCAAACTTCTAAAATTGGTAATCATAATACAAATTATAAATTATTTTAATAAACATTTTACAAGAGAAATAAAGACTTAAATCAACTTACTATTGTGGTGTGTGCTATTTATGACGACATAAGTAGTATATGACGCTAGTCAGGAATAGAATATCTGGCAGCAGAAAGTTGAGAAGATCGAGGAGAAAAAACGGGAACAGAAAGCAATTGGTATGGAAATGTAGGAACAAAGAAATTTGAGACAATTAATGAACATTTTACAAGTAAATTGTTGGAGTATGGTTTTTCTATTTTATCAAGTAACTCTGCAATAGGTCCTCAGTTAGTTTAGACTTTGGATACATGGCTAATTTAATTGAAAAACAATGACATTTCTTTGAACTGCAATTTAGTCATTGTCGTTTCATAGCTTTTCATCATCTTAGTGAATATAGTATAACTTTATTTAGATACTTAGCGTATACATCTACATTAACTATCCGTTAACATTTAAAAGGACCTTGACAAATCAACCAATCGGTGGTTAGTTGTAGATATAGTTACAGTGCATTTTATTTATTTATATCGTTACATATGGAAATAAATTAATTACCCAACTAAAAAATGTTGAAATCGGTTGCAAGTAAGTCACTAGTTTATGGGTTTTTTATTTACTGGATAAAATATTTAAGTATATCATAGAAGAGTTCAGTCTTCAATATTAAATTAGGACTATTACATGTTTGAGAATGGTAATTCTTTCTATGAATGACAGACAAAGAAATTTATTCTTAAATAACTAGTGAAACTTCAGTAGATCTTATATTTTAAACCTAAATAATAAAAAAATTTTAGTACTTTTAAAATTTTGTTAATAATTGTATATAAAGTTAGTGTTTTCATTTATTATATTGCTTTTTAAACAACACATTACTGTGACAATTTATGGTTCAGTATGTTCTCTTTCATGGTATACACGATCACCCAGTTGATAATATCGATAGTCCTATATGGGGAAAAATGGGTACATATCTACAAATGAAAGCAATCAAGTCAATATTTTATTGATTCGATTGTAGGTTTTCTTATTTTAAGTAGTATTGTGGTATGTGATACTGATGTCGATAGATATAAGTAGTATGTGTCGTCAATCGAAAGTGAAATGTAGGGAGGAAGAAGGTTAAGTAGATCAAAGAAAACAGGGCGAGAACAGGGAATGATTGATGTGGAAGCGAAGAAACAATGAAGTCTGAGACGATTGATTGACATTTTGCAAATGAAATATTTACTGTATAGTTCTTAAATTTCACTGAGATGTTCTGTAATTTTGTATTTAAATACATTCCATTGTCCTCCATTGTGTTCCCGTTCACTACGGTATATCAAACAGTAGTAATAGTTGATGATAAATATCTGTAATAAAATAATTAACTGTTATTAAAATCCCCTAAGTATATCTAGTTATAATTTTCTCCGTTAAATATATTCACGATTACTTAATTGTTCATTTTAGTACGAACTGTAAAGTATCAAGGGTTAAATTCTCGTATCAAAATTGACTATTAATGTAAATCTATTCTGTCCATAATGATTCATCTACAGTCAATGAATTATATACATATCCTATCATTTCACTTGATTCCTTCAAAAATAGATAAGCTGTTATAATAAATGCAGATACCATTATCCAATTCTTTTATTTCCTTACTATGCTGAAATAAAGCATAACTGTTTGAGTCAATGAATACCGTTTTGTGTCAGAAGGTCTGACATAATTTTCACTTAAAATGATGTATAAAAAGTAATATTTTAATAACACCCTGAATTATCTAAAATTTTGGATTTGAAAAATCTACTATAAACTGCTGAGCATCATCTTTTTAATATTTTCACAACCAAGATGATTTTATAACAATATTGAGAATAATTCATAAGGTGCGCAACGCTTTTTATTTAAGAAATAAAAGAAAGAATTTAAACAATTAGTTCCTTGAAAACAATGAATTCCAGGCTTTAATAATTTAAAAACAGAACTGTTAAGGTTGATTAGAAGTGTAGAGTAATGGAAATCTATTTAAAGTACTTTGCGCTTATATAATACTTAATACATTTCATATGTATGAAGGATGAAAGAATATTTTGTGATTTATCAATCGTTTATCAAATTAATTCTTATTCTACTTTATAATCATTGGTCGTCTTTACGTATCGTGTTTTGTAGCCCCTTATTATCCTATTCAGGATAATGAAAAACCAAGGCTTTTATATACATCTGCTAATTTCTTGGGTATACCACTAACAGGGGACAACCAAAATTGGTACATATCAAGGACCAGAACTTATCCGAAAATCTAATTTTTTCCAGCTTGTAGCTGAAGATGGTAAGACAATACATTGTATTGGTTTTGGGAAGCACACATTTTACACAGAGATGGATGATGGCTAGCAATGAAATCCAGGACGCACGCATTTGTCTGTCCAGTATTTTGAAGTTACTAACTTAAATATTATTTATTTTATCATCACTACTACTCAAGTATTTACTATAAACTAAACTTTCTGGTATCAGTTTGGTCAGGTACTTTAATATTTAAAACCACCGGTCATAAAAATTGAATGACCATTGTGTTTTGAAGCTCGTGTTATAAACAATACATAAGTGTGAAATTTATCAGTACAAATCATTTTTATTCTGTTCAAATGTCCTGTTTTCTAGGGACTTTAAAAATGGGTAGATATGCTTATGTATACTATGAGACTATTGATGGTGTAAGGCATCAGGCGTTTTGAACATTTTATAATCAAACACATGGCTTGATAAAACCAAATTAAATGGTTATATACGAAATAATTTAATAATGAAGACATTTTATCTCCACATTCACGAAATCACTGACTGTGTCACGTAGATTGAACATTGAGACATATATTCACAGATTGAACTCATGAGTCAGTTGAAGCTAGACCACCATTGAAAACCTGGAAGCACTGGACGGCCGTTTCGTCCTGGTATGGGACTCCTCAGCAGTGCGCATCCACGACCCCGCACCACCCGGGGCTCGAACCCAGGACCTACTGGCTTCGCGCGCGAGCACTTAACCATTAGACCACTGAGCCGGCATCCAACGGTGTTAATGTCTAACTTCAACCAATCCACATATAATTGAAGTTTTCCTTTTTGTAATCTGTCATTCTGAGCTTTATATTTTAAAGATATTTATCTTGTTTATCTTGCTAGTATCATATTAGTGGTTATTATCACAAAAGTGAAATAGCTTTCTCTATTCAGCAATACTGAAGGATACGTATGATTTATGTCATGGTTATTAGAAGTTATGATTAAATAATTCCTGAATCTTAAGAATTAAGTGAGAAGTAGTAAGGAAATTCAATGAAACAATATTCTTTTCAAGGAATTGCGTTCAGTTTAACATTGAAATACTTCTCCGCGATATCATACGAGTCATGAATATGTATAATGTGTTTTGTACACGAAACATTGTGTAACTAATTCAGCATGGCTGAATAGATCTCTAAAAACAATTTATTAATCTGTTCTATCAAGGTGGTGTAGTAAGTACGTTACTTGTCTCATGTAACGTGTTATGTTATGTTGCTAAAAAACAAAGTGACCCACTAGTGATAGTTATTTCAAATACAATAGTTAACAGTAAATTTGATTTTTTTTTCAAAACTCGAACTCTAGGAATACAGTTAATTGATTGTGGAGATGTTACACCTGTAGAACTAAGTGAAACAGAGGATCCACAACGTTTTGGAATGAAATGGTCACGGAGTTTCTCACTGACCACTTTAAAAATAGCCGAACGTGTGGAGGGATTAATGAAACAGTCAACTAAACATAATACTGAATCAAATGAATCAAAATCAACTCCTTTAGTAATTGTTGGTGGTGATCATAGTATGGCAACTGGAACCATACTTGGACATGCTAAAGCTAAACCAGATCTGTGTGTGTTATGGATTGATGCTCATGGTGACATAAATACACCACTGAATTCAGCTTCTGGAAATATACATGGAATGCCTTTAAGTTTTCTAGTAAAAGAATTACAAGACCAAATACCGTGGTTGGACGACTTTGAAGGCATAAAACCTTGGTAAGTTTTTCGAATATATATATGTTCTGCCTAATAAATATTTTATCCTTCAATTGTAAAATCTTAAGCTATTTGTATTTTTTTCATTTTTTTCATATAGTTAACAATAAAGTTAATCTAGAGTGTTAGAATGAAATTTAAATACATACTATCCTACTAGTACCTAACACCAAACAATATCCATAGGAACTGCATACCACTCAGATTGTAATGTAATCTATGAAATTAGACATATTATTAAAGAGCTTTACCATCACAGTATGATATTACTTAGTAGTGTGAACCAATGAACTTAGGCTTAATTGAATTGAGGACCTTTAAACCTTACCGAAATTTATTGGTTTACATTTTGAGCTACAATTATTTCGTAACATTAATTCATAATCACTCAAACACTTAGACGATATCTGTCTTTCACTTAGACAAAAAGCTTCTTTTTTTCCAATGTATTTTCAGATTAGCAATGTCAATCTATACATGTAAATGTCCGACTATATCATGACAGTTTGAAAAATGTTTAACTTAGACCTTTCTTCTGTTTTCTCATCACAACTGACTTATTATTATTAATGATGTAAAAAATAAATAAATAGAGAAATACATTAATGTTAAATTCATTATTTAAATGATCTCTATGAACGTGATTTCTTGTAATGATATGAAGGTAATTCACTTTAGAAAAAATAGATAAATATTTGTTGTTTTTCTTTTCTCTCATCAGCAAAAGTCACATGAATCAATAAAATGTATATGAGATTAGGTTGTTGTTTGTTTTTATTACCAAAATTACATAATTCACAATGTCAAAACTTAAATCAATGAAATTATCTTATGATTACTTATCAGATGACAATTCTTTAATATTAGTCTTTATATATATATGAAAATTACCTTATAACTTCCTTAATAAATCGTCCAATATTCAAGGACAAGTTAGTGATGTGTTAAATGTGACCATATTGAAGTTAGATTATTTTATTTATTGTTTATTATATAATAATGAATAACAATTACTACCATGGTGATAACAATAATAATGATAATGAAATTGTGAAATGTTTCTATAGAGAATAATTCATTAATTTATAACTTTACCATATATATATACATTCATTGAATTAATAGACTGACTAAATTAATTAAATAATAAGATTGTTTTGTTTTTTTCAAAAAATAAAACTGATAAAGAGACTAATTTCAATATCGTACAGTAAAGATGTTCAAATTATTCGGCTAATTCAAATGATTTATAATACAAAATAATATTTAAGTATATCATGTATTGAGATATTTAACAAGATTTTGTAAATAATTTGCACAGGGAAATCTAAGACTTTAATTCAATTATATATTACATAACAGTGAATAAAGTTGATGAGTTTGTTTTGTTTTATTTTAAATATTACTTACTTACTTATGCCTGTTACTCTTAATGGAGCATAGGCCACCAACCAGCATTCTATTTTAAATATATCACAATCTTAATCGAATTGAACTTTAGTTTTATGTAATATTTTACAGAAACATTTATAGTTCTAAGCTTATTGTGCTGAAGAATTATTTTCACTTAAAAGCCTTAATTGCTATTTGTATTTATTTATGAAATTGAGAGAAAGAAAATCGTATGTCTAGTGATTTAACAGAATCCACTTAGGGGAATTAGAGAAACCTGATTTCAAATCAATGGTGCACATAGATTCCAGTATCCTGTTGGAACAAATGGCGTATGGACCTATTGTTGATCATCGGCTATTATGGGACTGCATCTCCTGACGTTGCTTCACTGTCTTGTGGATTAAATCTTCAGCTCGAAGGCTCCGGATGTGGCTTCCTAAGAAAACCACCTGCCTCGGTTTGGGCACCCTTGCAGTATCACAGCCTACACACAAATCAAGCAACTTGTGTGTTGCATATATATTCGGTACTCTTTTGTGCCAATATTAATGTGTTGAAACAAAACAATAATATTGATAAAATTAATTTTCGAACAAATGAATTACAAATGTACGTTAAACAAGGATTTTTATATACTATTTTTGCATGCTTATAAAAAGAGTGAAACTCTAATTTGAAGATAGTTTTCTCAACAACATTCAGATTTACATCTTACATGATTATGACTGTGTTTAAGAATTTACTATCCAAACAGTCATCATTTATAACGTAGTTACTGAACCACCAGAAAATGTATTCATGCAGTTAGTTATCCATTTATACAATAAATAATTTTGAAAATACCGATATTATCTATAGGTTTGAACGATTACAAATTCTCTGAAAATCTTGATGATAAAAAACACTTTATGTTTACTAATGTCTTTATAGGAATTACATCCTTCGCCCGTGTTTATTAATTCATGAAGGTGAAGTAAAAATTATATGTAATAAACAAATTAAAAGTATATGTTCATTAATTGAAACATTTTTCAAAGAAGATAAGTACACATTTAAATGATCAGATTTTTTTAAAAAGGTATACGGATATTGCCGGTGGATCAATATCATTACATGAGTAAAATGAAATACAAATTGTTTAGTATTAAAATATTCTTGAACCACATGTTAAACACAGCAAATTCTGAACTAATTAAAGATTAAACTACTTATTATGAAAATGTTATTTATACAGTGTGCAAGTTATTTCATTCGTATTAATTAATCATCAGTAATAAAATCAAAATGTTTCAAATTCATTGTCCTGTGAATTTATTTCTATTAGTATTTGGCACTCTACTTATATTATTTGATTTTCTGATTTTATTAAGAATGATAAAATGATCTTATTCAACAAATTTTGTCAATAATGAGAAATATTGAAAAGAGCAAGAACAAAGATTCTAGCAGAATAGTATGAATCCATTCTATTTCGGTGGTTCTCATCAGCTGCTAACAACCTGTGATATTTATTAAAACATATTCACAAAATGGGTTTAAATTACTTACATGAAAGGGTTTGTTTGGAAGTTATGTTGAAGACATATTAGTAGAGTATAGCAATGATGTAAATAAATTTACTAGACTGAAAATTGTAAATATATACCTTATGTGAAAGAACATCCTAAAACATTATGACAATAGTTTAAACGGTCAGACACAAGTGATTGTATAATGAGTAAATGTTGATAGTAATAAAATGAGTAGATTAATGAATGATTAGTAAGCAGCCAAACTTCAGTCTTCTGAAGTTCACTGAAGCCATTGCTATCAGACGCGAAAAACCTGACTTATGTGTTAAAAAGGAGATGGTTATTGATTTTTCCTTGCCTTGGTGACAAATGTTCTTTCGTTGCATCTCAAGCGTTTTTTAACTCTTTCTTACATTTATTATATCATTGATTTTTATTTCAACTATCTTCCAAATCAGTAATCGTATTTTACCAACTGAGCTCTACTCATTTTACTCCTATCAACATTTACTCACTATGTAATCATTTGTTTCTGGCCGTTTGAACTGTTGTCACAATCAGTGTTGTACAATATTCTTTTACGTAAGGTATATATTTACAATTTTCAGTCTAGTAAATTTATTTACATCATTGCTATACTCTACTAATATGTCTTCAACATAACTTCCAAACAAACCCTTTCATGTAAGTAATTTAAACCCATTTTGTGAATATGTTTTAATAAATATCACAGGTTGTTAGCAGCTGATGAGAACCACCGAAATAGAATGGATTCATACTATTCTGCTAGAATCTTTGTTCTTGCTCTTTTCAAAATGATTAAGGCAACTATGTGTATAAAATTAGGCTTATGAATATATGATGGTGATTGTACATATTTCATTATTTAAATTAATTATCTAAGCGTGGAAATTTGTTAATTCAGTGGTATTAATTTAAATGATAATTGACAGGTTTACTGAAACATTTTATATTTTACGAAACACATACATCTAGAACGTATTGATAATTCTTGTCTTTTTGGGTATTTAATTAAAACGTCCATTGTACTAAACACAAATTAATTGCGTCTTATATTAGGTATCAGTGCATATATTTATATAAAGAGGAGTGAACAAATGAAGAAATATTTAAGAAATTTGACCAAGAATCTCTCAATCAAGGTATTGCAGCTAAGGCCTATGGCAAAGTTATTTAGACAGGAGAATTGGTATTATTCTTTTCAACAACAGCGAAAGCTCTCCTTTGGAATCAATAAAGTAAAACATTACTCGCACCAACCTTGTTCATGCTATATATTTTAAAAATGAAATGAGTTGGTGAATATTCTGTTTAGGGTTGTGGAGATTGCTGAATTTCTTTGAAATCATGAACCGACGAATGTTAGACCATTATTGAAAACCTAGAAGCACTGGATGGTTGTTTCATTCTAGTATGGGACATGTCAGCAGTGCCCATCCGTGATCTAGCACGCAGAATGCAAACCCAGGACCTTCGGTCTCTCGTGAACGCTTAACCTCTAGACCACTGAGCTAGTATCCGATCATACTGTTTTGTTGAAGTTTTCTTCTGAGGAAAAGTATGCTATATTGTACAATAAAACAAACAGTAATCATTAAATAACCTCAAAACATTTATAATAATTTTTATTAGGTATTCAGTTTTCCATAACAATATACAAATAATTATTTAGATGACAATTTTCAGCATAAAAACTAATGCCAATTAAACAACCAGTGTGAACCAAGTAGTATTAAGCAAGGGTTAATTGCGTCTTATATTAGGTATCAGTGCATATATTTATATAAAGAGGAGTGAACAAATGAAGAAATATTTAAGAAATTTGACCAAGAATCTCTCAATCAAGGTATTGCAGCTAAGGCCTATGGCAAAGTTATTTAGACAGGAGAATTGGTATTATTCTTTTCAACAACAGCGAAAGCTCTCCTTTGGAATCAATAAAGTAAAACATTACTCGCACCAACCTTGTTCATGCTATATATTTTAAAAATGAAATGAGTTGGTGAATATTCTGTTTAGGGTTGTGGAGATTGCTGAATTTCTTTGAAATCATGAACCGACGAATGTTAGACCATTATTGAAAACCTAGAAGCACTGGATGGTTGTTTCATTCTAGTATGGGACATGTCAGCAGTGCCCATCCGTGATCTAGCACGCAGAATGCAAACCCAGGACCTTCGGTCTCTCGTGAACGCTTAACCTCTAGACCACTGAGCTAGTATCCGATCATACTGTTTTGTTGAAGTTTTCTTCTGAGGAAAAGTATGCTATATTGTACAATAAAACAAACAGTAATCATTAAATAACCTCAAAACATTTATAATAATTTTTATTAGGTATTCAGTTTTCCATAACAATATACAAATAATTATTTAGATGACAATTTTCAGCATAAAAACTAATGCCAATTAAACAACCAGTGTGAACCAAGTAGTATTAAGCAAGGGTTTTGCACTTGTTCAAAATTCTTCACTAATGAGCAACAATTATGTATTCCACACTGTACTTTCATACTTTGTCTAGAATTAGATAACTTTATTTTACTATGTTAAAAGTTATTAGTCGGCATTTTCAACTTTAATCAGTTTATGACAGTGTCGTAACATGTTTTGTCTGTTTTAAATTGGTGTATACTTAACATTTACTTGGAATTCTTTGTTTCTCATTTCTCATTTTACAGTCTCAATGCCAGTAATATTGCCTATATTGGTTTGCGGGATTTAGATGCTTATGAAACGTAAGTAAGCCACCACAAGAGCAAAGCATTAAAAAGAATTAATTATCTGTTTATAAGCTAGTATGAGAAACATTTATCCATAAACACGCTATTAGGTTGTGCATAAACTTGGACTCAATTTAAGTATATATATATACATAATGCAGTCACTATCAATTACTGAGAATTTATAGATTTGTTGATTAATTTGTGCTGATATCTGGGGCCATTTATAGAAAACCTGAAATCTTCTTCCATCTCTCACTCTCAAATACCATATCACAAAGCTATAGAGAAGCAGGTAGCAGACTGCTGTGTTATTAAATCTTTATTTTAGAAAAAAATACAGTTGTCGCTGGTATCTAGTGTAGTTCAAACTGTTGAATGTTAAATACATCATATATATCTTTATTGGTGCAGCTTCCCTATTCTGCTCATTTGAATTTCTGTAGCTATTTTAAATAAATGAACTGGTTTTTACACTCCCAGTCCCACTCACTTTTTAGTTGTAAACTGTATGATAGTGCGATTAAATACCACAGTATATTTTGAATTCGTCAAGTTTAAACAGCAATAATAAGCATGCTCAAATGTTTGCTCAAATTATTCGAAAGACCTTGTATTTTCATTTTTAAGGCTCTTATGACTATTTTGTAAACGATCACTAGCTCTATTAAGATTTCGGCGAGATTCTAATTAATGGAAGAAGCAATAACGTTTAAGATGTTGAATACTGGTTCAAAATCCATTTATTTATATGACTAAATAGTATTTTCGCATCATAGCTGATGTCGGTTCGTTATGAAAACCCTAACTCTAATTCCGAACCCTATATCCTGACCCTAAGTGCCGATTATGATTTTTTGCACCAATTTATAACCCTCTTTTGAAACTGGTAAGTAGGCGGTTCTTATCAAGGTCACTTCGGCGACGCTCAGAGGTCGTCCATAAATTACAGTCTCACAAAACTTCCTCATGTAAAGAATACATTATCAATCAAGTGAAAAGAATCTATCTTCAACATTTGAAGCGAGAAGTTGACACTGAATAGCATAATCGCAACTTCAAATAAAAATTTGCTGTAAGCTGTTATACGAGTCGACTAGTTTAACAAAAATGTATAAAGTAGGACAATATGTTTTTCTAATAATCCTTTAACTTCAGATACTGCTATATACCATTTCAATAGGATGGGTCAAGGTTCACTCTTAAGTTAATGAAAATGATCAATGTAGTGTACTGGTAATTATTCTTTCAGATGAAGAGCAATACGTTCATTAAACAATTACTTATCCGAACCTAAAAAATGATTACATTTCACATGTATCCAGTGCTGCTTAGACAACAACTGAATATGGATCCTAGAAATTAACGATCAAGAAGTTAGTTTTTAAGCAAAATTTCTAATCTGTGTGATTCACTCTTTTAAGAAATTGAAAGTATATTGAAAATATGAACGAACAAAATGACTTACATTTAACTCTATTTACACTTACTTTTATAAGCATTTATTTTTGACTTGGTTATATTTCTTATTTATATAGTCACATTTTTTGTATTTTTATAGTCTAATAATTTCGTAACGATAAATCCAACATACTTATGTTATTGACTAAATTGTTAGCTCAAGAGTTTTAGGGATAATCTGCCATTATATGTTAAAAGAATTCATACAAAACGTTTCTTGAATAGGCTAATGATCAATACAAATCTATACTGGGAAATTGGTTTTCTTATGAAGGATATACTAATGAGGTGGTTGCAAATACTTTTAGTTTATCAGTATCGAGTCGTGGAGATAGTTGAGCTTAGATTGACATAATGGATGTGGACAACTGTGGATACACATTCGATTGAAAAAAATGTTGAGATCCTGGAGTGCAGGCATATCAAGAACAACGGGAAATTTTTAGAAGCTTGGCGCTCAGATCAATCTGGAATCAACAAGCACTTCGAAGTCGATTCAATCTATCAACCAATCAAAAAAATTATGTACATACGTAAGACCAAGAATCGCATCAAAGGGAAAACCAGAAAAATAACGATAACCTAACGGTAATAACGATAAGCTAAAGGCCAACAATAACCAATCAAGATCGAAGTCAACAGGACAAGCTGTGAGTCATATTTGAAGAAATTCGAACATTTCCCTTCTACCTGAATTTTATGTTGATGACATCGTTCCGAAGGACAATGAAATCTCCACAACCAAACCATCCATCCTAAAGAATGAAACTCTAACAAAAACATACTATTTTCACTATCTCTTCAGATAATATTATTCTGTAGTATGAATTACCTTCAAACATATTTACTGCAAATTACAAAACGTCTGATACTATTATTCTTATTCTTGTAGATATGATATTAGAAAACATGGCATTGCTTATTTTACAATGCTGGATGTTGACCGAATGGGAATAGAAGCTGTTATTAAAGAAGCATTGCAAGCAGTAAATCCAAGGTTATTGTTTTAACTGTATTAAATAGCAAAATATATATACTATAGTTCTCTGAAATTTTACTAATAACTTGACATTTAGTTAAACATTCGTCTCCAAAATGAAGTTTATTATTCAAATAATTTGCCTATGGTGTTGATGATGTGTCTTGTACTCACATCAAATCGTAGTTTTTTACTGGACGTGTGAATGTAAGTGTTCATATTTGATAAAAATTCACGCAACATTTACCCAAATATGACATGAAGATATCGGATTCCAACAACTTTCCTAAGTTAAAAGATGGAATATTGTGTTTGGATTAATAGGTTTTCCGGATATCGTCTATATTTGGCGTGTGTTTGCTAAATTGACAGGTTATGGTATGTTCGTTTACATTTACTAATAACGGTATTACTTATTCTGAGAAAAAATACCACTTAAAAATATGGAAATTCCTGAAAACACTTCACCCTGGAATGCTAAATTTCTGTGTTTAATCTATGAGGCCTTAGACCTAGTTTGACACGATTTTACTGATAGGAATAGTTGGTAACAAAAATTAAAGTATTTAGTTAATTATACTCATAACGATGCCTTGTTGTTTCAAACGTTCAACCGTCGGTCATTGGGCGGAAAATCAAGTTCTGAGCAGCAAGATGGTACAACTAATCTTTATAAAACATGTATAACGCAAAGCCAACTATGTATTTAATAAGTCAGTTTCACCAAATTAAATTAGGGAAAGCATGAGATTATATTTTGAAACAACTACCAATCTATTTTTAATATTTCTGATTTCTGATGACTCTAATTAAGTCTATTTAATCTAATTCTAAAGACTTATTTCATATAAAGTATGTTAATGTTTGTTTGTATGCGAGTAATCACCATCTTTAAACCATTTTCTCCAGTGTGATTATAATAGTATACTATCGAGTAACACATCCATTCAGTTATTAAAAGCGCTTTTATTAAATCTATAGGTATTTATATCATAATTATATAATGTATACAAATGTATGTAAAACCGTTCTGTTTATGAACGTGAATAAATGTCAAAATGCTTTCACGAATATCACAAAACGTTTGAGATATGCCAGTACTATAGAAGATCTTCACGACAATCTGTTATTGCTAACAGTTAATCAGAACGTTTTTTTTATTAAATAATACGAAAATAGTTTTAACTAAATGAGCTAGCTGCGACTGTAGGTAGTCTGTAGGAAAACTTCAGATTGGAACTTCAAAAAAAATGGCGCATCATTTACTTTAAAGAATAATTTGTTTTCATTTGTGACGAAATTCAAGATAAATTCGCTTCATTCCGTTAAAATTTCATGATTGGTCTTCTTTACAAAAACCCCGCCAAATGCATTTTTTTATGGAAACAACAAGTTAATAACTGTTGTAGATGGTATGTCGAAAATGTTGTTTTAGATCGTTAGTTTAGGAATGAAATATATTCACTAATCTTGAATAGTATAAATAAGTTCTGAAGTAAAATAATATAAGAAAACTTAGAGTTCAAATTGACTTTTTTTCAAAAATAACTTGTAGTAAATGATTATAGTTGGTGCCAATTAGAACAACCTTTGTCTAGAAACCGTTTAGAATATTTAATGAAGTAACCCTAAAAGCCTGACATATTAGACGAAAGTGAGATAATTCTTTGAAAATAAACAAATCGAGCTAATTTCCACAGCTGGATTCACGAGTCAATCTAAGCTAGGCCACCACTGAAGACCTGTAAGCAGTGGACGAACGATTTGTCCTAGAAAGGGACTCTACAGCAGTGCGCATCCACGATTTCGCACACGGCCTCGAACCAAGGACCTTCGGTCTCGCTTGCAAACACTTCTAAACCACTTCAATTGATCCATGATCCTTCACAATCATTTATCCATTGTCTGAGATGGATAACTACCTCACACTCAATACGGATTGGACTTCACTGGTCATGGATTCTCACTAGAACGCCAGGAAATTCATCTTGAAACTATTCTCTGCTGACCATATGATTATTATCAGTGCAGAGATTTGCAGAGATTGTACAGAACAAAGGAAAAATTTTCTCTTTTTTATGTTAGGCTTCCAAATATTAGAACTGCTAAATGTTTTTAGTTATTTACGAATATTTTCCTGTTTATTTCAGTAGGACTCATAACTCACAAAAGAGATACCTTGATAATACATGTATTTAGATCCTGCGTATTTTTTGATATCTTATTCAAGTTTATCCAGCTGACGTGTAGTGATAAGATGAAATGCTCATCCAGGATTCTATTATTAGCCATTATTGAAAATAAGATTTATCTTTTAAAGTTTTAAATTGGTGGCTGAAACTAAGAAATTATACCATCGATTTTGGACATTTAACGAATATTTGCAGATTTGCATAATAAGTTTTTACGACTTTGGAGAGAGTTATTTAGAAAACCGTTCGTCAACTCCTAAATAATCTTTATTTCCAGACTGTCTTAATTAATAATGTGACCGAGAAGTAAAATGTTTGCTTGGACTCGTATACATTATGCTGTATTCTTACCAAGGTTTTGATAATTATCGCTTCTGAGTTCCTAATTGAATATGTATTTGTAGGACCTTGAGTTTGAAATTCCTGGGATCGAAGAATAATAAAAAAATTACTAAGTATAAATTGTCGTCAAAGAGAAAAACCCTACTCCATCTACTCAAATGGAATCATGGATAACAAATTTCATTGAAAGTAAACCAATCTACTTTTCACTGAGTAGTAGTATATGAAAACGATAGTTAACAACGTTAATCAATAGTAAGCTCCTGGTCGACAATTATTTTGCACTTATCGATTTTCAGTGTCCGTCCCCATTCCAGTACTATTGAGCACGTAAATTAAATCCAAATATAATTATTACTATTATCTGAATTTCAGGAGCGCCTATATCGTACTGAAAGCACTGTGTACTTTATTATTTTTAGATTGGAGAAAGCTATTCACTTGAGTTTTGATATAGATGCACTGGATCCTTTAGTAGCCCCGAGTACTGGCACTGCTGTTCCAGGTGGTTTAACATTACGTGAAGGTTTAAGAATATGTGAAGAGGTTTCAGCGACAGGTAGTTTCTTACCTTTTAATATTACTTGCTACGAAATTACGATTGCTGTAGTACTCATTAGTAGTATGTCTGAAAATGTTTACGTAGTGTTTATGTAAACTGAAGGAAACTAAAATATATTTAAAATTAATTGAGATTAATAAATACCATGGCGTATCATCAATAGTTTCACTATCTAGTAGTTAGAAAATTATCTAATGTCTTATAAGTATCGTTGATTATTTTGTGAAGCGGAAATAGAAACTGGCTTAATCGTTAAAGAACTAAATGATTAACCCCTTTGTCACAGATTTGGTATTGTTGTAGTGTGTGCTGCTAATGCTGATAGCTATAAGTAGTATGTATCATCAACCGAAAGTGAAATAATTGACGGAAGAAGGTCAAGAAGATTGAAGAAAAGAGAGCGAGAATACAGAATGATTGGTGTGGAAATGAAAGAACAATGAAGTCTGAGACGATTGATTGATATTTTGCAAATGAAATATTTACTGTGTGGTTCTTAGACATTTTGTAATTTTATGTTTAAATGCATTTGGTTGTCCCCGCTTGTGCTCTCGTTCACTACATTGTCTCAAATTCTAAGTATATGTCACTTTAGCATATCCTCATAAAAATCGTTTTACTTTATAGCTGAGGGCGAGGACCGATAGTCAATTACTGAGGTTTCTTTTATCAAAGTCTCAATCAATTTTTAAAAATTCGTCTCCATAGAACATTCAAACAGTAAATAAAAGGATATCAACCTTTTGAATAATTTATAACCTTGTTATTATGTCTGTGTAAATTTAAGCTAGCAGAAATAGGAATCGAAAAAAGGAACTTCTGTGGTTTCAGATTGTGTATATAAATAAAAGTTAATTGATGAAATCCAGGAAAAAAAGCGATTCAGCTTTTAATTTTGAACCCGTTAACAAAACGATCTATCCAGCTGGTGAACTATAAAAATATTCTATCTTAGAGATCTGAGCATAATTAAGCTTACATTGCAGAATAGTGAAGTAGCAAATGCTAAGACTAAATACAAGTTTCTAAGTAGGCAATACATTTGCATTGAATATGACTGTCGAATTGTATGTTAAGGAGGAATTATCACCACCTGACATGATGGGTTATGCTTAGTAGACCATGAATAAGCTGGAGGAAGACGTAAGATTTCAAAACAAAAACATTGGTTAATAATATAATAATATGTTTCATACTATGTAGAGAAACATTAGTCTTATAGTCAGTTTTATTGATAATCATTATGATTTATGATTTTAAATGGCATGGTTTAAATTCACTACCACTTTCAAAGTTACATTTATTCTGTATCTTTCTGAACATATTCGTTTCATATTCATTCCATACCTTCCATTCTTTGGTTAGATTTATTCAATGAAGGCTCCATATCTTGTGTTTAACCCCTCACTAATATCAATATTATTACATATACTGCTTTGCTTTTCATTTTGTTAATTTATTCATCATAGTGCTGATGTGAGATGTAGTCATGTGCACTGATGTAAACTTTCATTTGGTCGTTCATTCATGATATTTGACTAGTTGATTTATAATGAATGTATGTGAAATTAGATAGCATATCTATTGGTTTGTATCAGGATATTTATCATTGAATGATAACTTTCATGAATTATCATCATTTCTGAGTGTGCAAAATATTTTTTTGTCTAAAAGTTGCTGAGTCCTATTTGGTTTTATATCCCATTCATGCTTCTAACTTAATAGAACAATGAAATTTATTTAAAAACTAAGAATTGGTGATTTTCATTTCTGTTACTTTCAAATATCTTGATACAATAGACTACAAGTATTTTTGGAACGTTGCTATAGTGATTGAAATACAATAGAATTTATTTGAACTACAAAGTGAGCACTCATCCTAATACACTTAAAATGTCACAGTAATTTATTATCAAAGAAAAATTCTGATCTAACAGTTGAGAAACGTAATGTGTGAAATTCTCTAGATTTTTGTTGAAGACACTTATAATTTTCATACTCAATGACTTAAGTATGTATCTCTATATACATATATATTATCCAATATTTATTGCATTTTGTTTTTCACTTCTTTACAGGAAAACTTTCTATAGTTGAATTGGCTGAATTAAATCCTTTATTAGGATCTAAGGAAGATGTTGTAAAAACTCAATCATCCGCTGTTCAGATTTTGAGAGCATGTTTAGGCCATTGTCGTTCAGGTCATTTACCATTCAATGTTCGTAATTTAACTGATCAAGGTATTATTAGTCGAATGGCACATATGCAGACATAACAATAATTATTCCTAATTCTCTAACAGTTACTGGTTATCTTTTATTATTATAATCATATAACTCATTTATCAATATTATTATTATTATCAATATATAGCATTACAATGATTTGTGTATTTTTAAAAAATACTATATTATTTATTTGTTGTGTTATTACTTCTAAACTGACTTACATTATTTGAAGAAAATTGATACAACCTAACTATTTTTTGTTTATTAGTAAAGGGTTGTGGAAATTGTTGAGTTCCATTGAAATAATGAACCAGTTCATGTTATACTACCATTGAAAACCTAGGAATATTGAACGGTCGTATCATAATGGTATATGGCTTCTCACCAGTGGGCGTCCATGGCATCATAAGTGGGGTCACCGGAGACAGTGTCTAAGAATTTGATAAACAAAGTTCAAAAACTCTTTGCCGAATCAAGTGACAAAGCAGCTGAGATGAATTTAGTTATATCCACTTTGGATGGATAATTATCCTAAGTACTTTATACAAAGAATAGTTAAGAACTGTAAGTTAAAAGATATACCAAAAGAACGGGTCAAAACTGTTGTGATCGCATATTGTGAAGGAACTTCAAAAGCGATCAAAAGGGTCCTAAATCATTACGATATAAAGTATTCTTTCAAACAAATAATGCTTTAAACTGTTAAGAGTCAGAAACTAAATACGAAAGGAGGAACAACAAATTGTTTATGTAAGATCAAATGAAGCGACTATAGTGCTATATATGAAGGTGAGATTTCATGGCAGCTGGATTTGAGGGCGGAGGAACACAGACTTTGCTTGAAGTATATTCTTAAATCCTTAAGAGACCTAAAAAAGCTGGGAAACAAGTCTGATATTGCATTGGACTCAACAGAGTCTGGTCATACAATTGATTTCATTGACACAAGAATCCTCGAAAAACCTTTTAGCTCATACAAGGAGAGAATAACATCTGAAGCCCTAGACATATGGGAAAATCCGAACAGTGTTAATAGGTTCGCTGGAATACAGTTAGCTGTTTTTGGAATCCTTACTACATTTTATTCCATTTAATTCATCCCTTACTATGTGAACATCAACGATTGTGGTGGACCAAACAATATATGAACTCAAAAATGATAAAAGAGTTATTAAGTACAAATAGTAATGTTAATATGTATCAGTTAAATGTTATAAACACAACTAAAATTAGAGACGTTACTTAATTCAGCAGGTTTGTACGTGTTCTGATTGAGTCTGGGACCAAAATCCACAATTATAGATGATTGAAGATTCCAGTAAGACTGATATCCTCCCAGTGGTATAACCAAACGTAGAATATGATATATTTCAATTATAGTCTATAAATGTAGACGGTATTTGATTTAGAGTTCAGTTAACACAATCACGAGCGAATGGGGAACAAGATGTATGTGTGTAACAGTGTATTTGTTAATACGTGACAGCGTGTGTTATGCTATGAATGTAACACGACGGAAGAAAGTGTGTTCAAGGTCATACACTTAAACAACACATACAATCGTTTAATGATACATGTACATGCAGTGAAAAATTGACAGAATAAATACAAATAACATCAAAAATTATTTACAAAATAAGCTTGTCATGCATATTTCCGCACGATTACTTTCACGTGTTTTAATCAGCTTGTTCATCTGAGTATATGGTGAACTATCAGCTTGGTTAACGCAACAATACAGACGTTTATTTGTTTACTTATCTTCATTCTGTTAATGCTGTTACATGCTTGACTCATATCATCTATATAACTGTCTGTTTTCATCAAAACATTGCTGATCAGAGGCGATATATAGTCAATGGAATTTTCCCCACCTTGAATCCACTTACCCTTACATAAAACTGTTATCTTAACACACTTTTTTACACTTTTCACATCAAATATCTCCTACACCCTACATCAAATTCTACTTTCAACATTAATAGTATGACTGAATAACTTGTTTATTACACAATTAACTATAGAACCACATATTTGTATTTGACAATTTTGATGTTTGACTATATTTCTTTGAAAAAGTAAGGATCCGTTTGCCCAACAAAACACTGGATTTACTCAAAATTCAATTTCTAAGAAGTTTACAATTATAATTTCATCATTAATATCAAAGTTCCATAATTGGAAACTTGACAAACACTACTTTATTATTATTAATATTAGTTTTATTCAGTATTATATTATTGGTACAACATAGAGTTCTCATCACAAAGTATTTCAGCGGGTTCCCACTTATTATTTCTTGATCTATATTGCCGATAAATATTGAGTGATCGCCAGTTAGATATTAGCAGTTCAGGAATCGACATCTGAATAATGTACACTCTTTTTGATGCATATTTCCAGCAACCACGATGTCCCTGATTTGGACTTTGGTAACTTGTACAGCGAAAGGTTGTACACCTTTCAGAAACGCACCTGAATAGGTTCTGTATTTAATTGACATAATAATCTGTTAAAACAAACAAGGAAACAGATAACTTATTCAAATATATAAATGGCAGGAACAGGTAGCCCAGATATTCAAGCAGGCCTCCAGTGATGTTTTTCCTTAAACATATCATTTCTTATTTTATGCATATAGAATTCACTTAACATTAACTTAATTTTATTATGCTTGAAATATTACTGTTACTGAATACTCAACAATTACTCATGCATTGGTTAGATAGGTTAATGAAATGATTAAACCTATGGTGAATTTCCCGTTTAAAATGTTGATCCTCTATTTATTTCATTTAATCTAAACCAATTAAAACAGTTTAATTTTCTAGAATTTTCATCTTGGAAAATGTCAGTAACTGATCTAAGTCAAAAATGTATGTTACACATTTCGACGTAATTTGACCAGGTTATTCCAATGTAGCAAAGTATTTATTATATATATATATATATAAATGATTGTTGTATGAGTGGTAGTCGACGATAAAAAAGGCAAAATAGTAATTTTATTTATCCACCTATTTTATGCTGATATGTAGTTTATATGTATATAGTTTGATAGTGATTAGTTTAAGCAACACTGAAAACTTACTTACTTACTTACGCCTGTTACTCCGAATGGAGCATAGGCCGCCGACCAGCGTACTCCAACCCATTCTATCCTGGCCCTTCCTTTCCAGTTCTATCCAATCTTTGTTCATTTTTCTCATGTCTGTCTCCATTTCTCGACGTAATGTGTTCTTTGGTTTTGCTCTTTTCCTTTGACCTTGAGGACTTCATGTGAGGGTTTGCCTTGTGACGTAGCTGGGTATCTTACTCAATATGTGTTCTATCCACTCACAGTGTTTCTTCCTGACTTCTTCCTCCACTGGAACCTGGTTTGTTCTCTCACACAATAGAATGTTGCTGATAGTGTCTGGCCAGTGGATCCGAAGTATTTTGCGTAGACAACTGTTAATAAACACCTGTATCTTCTGAATGGTAGCATTCGTAGTTCTGCAAGTTTCCGCCCCATACAGTAGAACTGTGTTGACATTTGTATTGAAAACCCTGACCTTTATGTTGGTTGACAGTTGCTCTGAGTTCCAGATGTTCTTCAGTTGTAGATATGCTGCTCTTGCTTTGCCGATCCGCGCCTTCACATCTGCGTCAGATCCACCGTGTTCGTCAATACTGCTGCTCAGACATGTAAAGGTTTTTACATCTTCCGAAGCTTCCCCGTCGAGTTTGACTCGATTGTTGTATGCTGTGTTATATGGGAGAACCTTGCTTTTTCCTTTGTGTATGTTGAGACCTACTGCTGCTGAATCTGCTACCTCACTGGTTGTCTTCTGCATTTTTTGTTGTTGCGTGTGCGGCAGGAGAGCCAGATCATCTGCGATGTCTAGATCGTCCAGTTGCATCCTAGCTGTCTACTGTATCACATGCTTCCCTTCAGATAACGACGTCTTCGTGATCCAGTCGATCGCCAGGAGAAAGAGAAAGGGTGAGAGTAAGAACACCGAAAACTAGGGTGAACCTAAAAGCTATTTCTTCCTCTTAAATTATTTTGGCCTAATATAAAATACTTATTTCTTTGCTAATTGATTTTAGTATTCTCCATGTAGTGTTAAATAATAGTGAAAGTTCTCTACAAATCATAAGATTTATCCAACCGTATCCTTAGTGAGTGAATTTTAATTCTAAATTGATCTAAGGATATTATGATAAGATGAGCAAAATAATTTCGTAACAACTATTTCAAACACTATACAAAGCATACTAGAAATTTTGCTTGTTTAAATCAAAAATTCGTCAAACAGCACATTAAACGGAACTAAGACTTCCGACAAAAGTTTTTTTAGTGTAATTAGGTAACACTGCTAGTAATGCATGAGTTAACAGTTATGTTTGTTGATGAAAAATAAAACGGTGAAATTTTTAACTACTATAATATTTGAAGATAATAATATGAATATAAGTAAGAAGTTTTGTCAATAAATAAATTTGTATTTAGTGTCGGTAACAATCTTATTATGTTTACGAAATTAACTAATAATTCTAATCTCATTTCTATCTAGTTACCAAGATGACAAAAAAATATGTTCAAGTTGAACGTAACAATGAATCAGTTGGATCTGTTATATATTTAATATATAATGTATAATCACTATTACTCTGTTTCAATCATATAAAAGAATTTATAGTAAAATCTGTACAAAATATCAGGAATTTAATGTTAAAGATAATGGTACATACAGTTTATAATACTTCAGGATCAGTTTTTCACTTAGTCCTTAATGATGAAGTGTTTGACTCCCGAAATCAGGTTTACATTGATTTAATATGAGTAAATTTCACCAGGATCTCATATTTGTCCAATTATTTCATATACGTTATCCATTTTGTTGGGAAAAAGAATAAGATAAGGTATTTCATTGATGAACTACTCAAAACATAATAATAGTTGATTGAAACGGATTTTGTGTCGTCTTCTTTAGTGTTATATGTTGCAATAACATTTACCAATAAACAGATATCAATATAAAATCAAAGTTGTTAAATTGACAATGAAGTTTTCATTAGCTTAAACGTATGTTTAACATAGAATATTTATAGGATTTGCGCAGTTATAGATTCCAGGAATGAACCTGTTTTAAAATGATCAAAACAACACTGTATATTTCACAGGTCACACAAATCTTTAGTCAAACATATCTTGAATAGTTGTAGAACTTTTTCAAGCCTTTTAACTTTGTATCCTATACTACTTGTTATATTATTTAGTAAGCATCGGCATTTTGAATAAAATGTTTAAGTAAAATAACTTGATTAGTCTTAGAATGAGATTGTTTATCAGTAACCATCGACGTTTGTTATTTCTTATCTTATGATATACATTTAAATACGAAATGTTCTTTTAATGGTTACTGCCCCCAAATGCTCTGGTACGACCGAGAGTGAGGAGAGTCAGCTCTCCCTCTCGAAATGCTCTCACATGGTCACGTGCATACCACCACTGTCAGGGAAGTCCTACTCACTACCCTCTCTCAGGCAGCGGTGTTGTTTAAGAAACTGAGAGGACGAAAGGCGAATTCCTGGCACTTTAACCGAATTAATAGATACGGAGGATCCACCTAGGGAAGTCGAAAAACCATGATTACAAACCGATGGTGCACATGGGCTCCAGTATCCTGAAGGAAAAATGGCGTATGAACCAATTACTACCATGGGACTGTATCTCCTAACGTTGTCCCACTGTCTTGTGGATTAGACCTTTAGGTCGATGGCTTCGGGTGTGGCCTCCTTTAAAAACCACCTGCTTCGGTTTGGGCAACTAAACAGTATCACAGCCCTCACGCGAATCGAATGATTTATGTGGCACATATCTATTTTTGTACCTCCTTGTGCCAATGTTTATTTGCTTAAATAAATAAATAAATGGTTATTACTGACGTTTAATGATTGTGGAATAGAAATATGACTTGAAATCCAGTATGTTTTAGTTGATCAGAGCTGTATGACAATCCGCTAATATTGATTTGTATCGCATAGGAAATAAATTATTTCAGAAGATTCCAGCTCTGTAATTTTTCATATTTGATCAGAGATGTAAGTAAATAGAAGTTGGAATGTTAAACACTCGTGAAGCTATCCAGAACTGTGATTTCAGCTAATTATTCCTAAGATAGATATTCCCTTTCTATTTGTTTTATTCAGTATATATCTGAATGTTCAATACTTGATGTTAATATTATTACGTACTTTCATCTTATCTTGTCATTCGTTTTCTTCATATCCGTCGAATGGACCATTTTTTTACATTTCTTTTATAAATTACTACTTATTAATATCTTTACCACTTCTGTATAACCAATCGCCAACAGTCGAAAACATTGGACAGTTATTGATAATAGTTAGGGGACGCAACACTTCTGTTTTTTATCACAGACTAATATATGAAATTAACTATAAACACGATCGCGCAGCTTAAAGTCACTTCATCGAACTGTCTTTAGTTTGTTTAACTTTCTGAATATTTTAATTTGTATTGTGTTGAACGAACACTCAGTTAAAGAAGACCAATTTAGTGTCAAATGCAAAATTACAGAGTGCATTTGCAAAATCTGATCCTGGTTCAAATGTAATTGATTATAATAAATCGACCTTACGAGAAAGTAAGTTCGTTAAGTGTTAAATTTAACAGTAAACATTTATATGATTCGATTTTGCATTCAGCTAACTTTACAATTGATTATATATCTTTAAAATATTACATTTCTACTACCGTACCTTTCTATTTTTATAAGCTACCAACCAATTAATATTGAGTTGTGATGACCAACCAATCAAACGATAAGAGTAACGGTGAAATAATAATGTACAGTTGAGCAAATGTTTGATTTGATTATGACCCTGAACTATTTATTTAATAAACAATTACATGAGAACGTCTATATATATATATATATATACTTTCAAAATCATCAACACAATCTTCGCCACTGTCACCATCGTCATCATTATAATTAACCTTATTGATTATTATGAAGTTTTGCTTACTTGGTTACAGAAATGTAAAACAAACAATCTTAAAAAAGCCCATTTTTGTCTTCGTATATTCACTTTTATTATTTTCATTAATTTTTCTAATTGCAAATCATTCAGAAAAAACATTCTTATCAGTTAAGCTAATTGACATAAACACTCATAACGTGTATAAAAAATATGAACGATCATTCAGTGGACATGAGAATTTAATTTTCAACATTGATTATGCTAACTTTAGTATTGAAAAACAAAAAAATGTAAATGTAAATTCAAAACGACATTTAGGTTCAATTGATACAAAGCTATTTGATATACAAGGTTTTATACTGAAAAAGAAATTCAATATGAATAATTTAATTTTATTTCCATTTGAAACAGATAATCCATATGAGGATGATAGAATATTAGCACAAATGAGTTATGTTCCTGTACAAGTGTTAGAAGTAAGTATGTTATACATCAACTATTGTAATATGGTTATTTATGTCTTAAATGAATTTTGCTTTTATTTATCTATTATACAGTGTCTATTATTATGAAATGATGTAATCTTTCATTCAGCTATGAAACATTCACAAGTTATTCACATTCAATCTTGTATGGTTGTTGGGTTAAACATTTTTCTAATCTTTTAATGTTCGAAATGATTCTGAGTCAAGAAATAAAAAAAAATTAGTGAACGTTAATATCAGTTTCAATGACCTGGAATCACATTTCACGGAAAGTGTTAATAAACATTAGTGGAGAAGTGTTTCTCTTAGATATATAGAGTAATACTTAGATTGGTTCCTCATGAAAAAACATTGGATTAAAACGTTCAGACCAGTTTATTGAGTGAATTACTGAAGCTAACAAATTTCAATTTTTCAGATAGTTAAAAATGTTATTTTACATAGTAATCCCTTCATAACCTTTAATGCTATTATCAATGTAGTAATACCATCAATAAATTGTCATAAACTGCTTACATCTATGTAAACTCATTTCCATCTTATCATGCTTATTCCGATGCACAATACCACAACAATAATTTTTAGCTGAACAATGTATATCTAATTCTCAAGTAATATCACATAGATTTTCTTTCATTTCGCTAATTTTGAGTTTTTTTGTTAGACACTTTATAGTAGTTCATCAAGTTATACTTGTTTTCATAAACATAAATACTGGTATTTAGTGTTTATTTGCTTAAACTCATTATTCTGTTATCAAATAACTCTTTGTCAAACCTTTAATATCTCTTATTTCTAATTTGTTTAATTCTTTTTATGTTAGTCATTATTTTACTGTTATATCATGTTTTAAATTGAAAACTGAATAATCATAGAGTTTGTTTAAAAAAATGAAACACATTCAAGTTTCAGTAAACCATACTCATACTTGTATACAGTTATATTCAAATCGTTTGAAGAAATACTTTTCAAACAGTTGATTTTTCCTCATTAATTTCTTTCAAAGTCAAATTTTTCTTAATAAACACTGTGAGATATGTAAGTAGTTGATTGTTTTCAGTGCTGTTTTAGAATGTACTACAACATTATTGTTGTGTATATGTATTACGGTAATTTTCAGATCAAATATAATTCTTAAAATGTATGAGGACAAAACATTTGAATGTCGTACTGGATTTTAGGCTCCTCACCTTCTGAACAGTTTTGAATGAATTTATAAGACTTGGCTGATTTACAGTAAACCTATTTTTGATAAGTCACGACACTAAGAACAGATGAATTGCACGTTGTTAACAATACATTTCATTTTTCCGCTAATCTACATATATTTCAAAGCAAAATGCTTAAGATGCGTTTGTAAATTAGAATTTGGTTAACAAGATTTGTAGGTTATCTATAATATTAATGTTCTTCTGTTGTGTAACCCATAGTTGACTCGTGTTTATCACAGCCTACCTTGAACTGAGAATTGTTAACATTATTTAAAGTACATAATTTTAAAAAAATTGCCATTAAGGATAATCTTACAAGTTTCTGATGCAAATGTTTATACTCAAAATATTTTGTAGCTAATAATAATTGTCATTTTATTTGCTGCTTTTATAAACCTACCCTATTATCAACATACATATTGATTTGGTTCATTTGCATGCAATCAAAAGACAATAGACTAGTAACAATTATTAAGGTTTATTTAAGTAACAGGGTCTATGTCAAACTATAGATAACGTCATATCTGCTTGAAACAATAATCAATAAGTTATTCAAAAACATTTCATCATGATACTAAGTGTAAAACCATACTGTTAATTGCATTTTTCCAGTAGATGCAATTTTTTAAAGTTATCATAGTTTGTTGGTTTGTCAGCATACAATCATCAATTCATTTACATTAATGAATAACCATTAAACGATAAATGGATTTAATCTCATGTGTAATATGCAAGTCAAACATCTACTTGACTGTTCAAAAGCCAGAATGAATAGTATTTTTAATAATTAAAGGATACTGAGTAAGTCAATAGTCGAAGGCTGGTAACCTCACGTATTAGTAATTCATTTTCATACATATTCCTTTTTCTAAACGAATAAGATAAATCTAGGTAATTTCTCATTTAAATTATGGATCGATTGTTCAGCTCTTGAATCAGTTAATTTTCAAGCATTAGGAGCATGTTCAAACCTTACTAAATCTTCTTTTGTTTGAATAACCATATAGAGTCAATAATTTATACAGAAACGATATAACTTGAAATACCAGTACCTAAATCTTTACTTGGTAAGTAACATTAGTTTTAACAATATACATTATCGTTATTGATTGATTTTAGTAAATTATTATCTTGTTTTGTGTCGCATGTATATATTTTTTATACTATTGCTATTTTAGACCAACCTTGTTCTATATTAATTCACGTTATTGACCTAAGGACAACAAACATATTAGCAAACTAATATTTACTGTGTTTTTTTTTTTATAATATAAACATTCCTTTTTTGATATATTAGTGTGATAAATTTTGTTTTAGAATTTATCATAATTCACTTTAGTAAATAGTAAAATATCGAAATATGAGTTAAGTATTTAATTTTCTGAGTTGTAATAATTCATATCTATTATACATTTGTATTAGGCATTATCAAACTACTTCGAACTTGCTATAAGTATTTTAATGGTATTTAATAGTATAATAATGAGTTGCGTAATACAAAAGAACGTACATATTATAAATATCATCAGTATAGGGGTTGTGGAGATTATTAAGTTTTTGATTGAGATCATGAACCAGCTGATGTTAGACCACCGTTGGAAACCTGGAAGCTCTGGATGGCCGTATTGTCCTATTGTTGGACTCCTCAGTAGGGCGCATACACAATCTCTCTCGCGGGATTCGAACCCAGAGCCTTCAGTCTCTGGTTGATGTTGGACACCAACACCATTGGATGCTGGCTTAGTGCTCCAGTAGGTTAAGCGTTCGCGCGAGAGACTGAAGGCCCTGAGTTTGAACCCTGCGAGCGGGGACGTGGATGCGCATTGCTGAGGAGTCCTACAATGGGACGAAACGGTCGTCCAGTGCTTCCAGGTTTCCAACAGTGGTCTAACTTCAATCGGTTCATGATCTCAATTACAAATATCAGTTAGCCAGGCTTGTCTTTTTCTAGTTCAGAAAATAATAAGTGAAATACAAAAAAAAATAAAACTGTTTCATTTTGAGAAGAATCATGGTTCCACAAGATTGAAATTGTCTTTCATTAATTATAATGGCATATCGAATTTTCACGTGTTACAACATAAAAAAATAATAAGAAAATACATTAATCTTTGTGACTTAGATACCATTTATGCTGTGTGATATACTTCAATCGAAAATTTATTTGTCTACTCATAAGTCGTTTGAAAAAAAACTAGTAAACTCTTAAGAATGTAGAATAATCAACAATTCTAAGTGAAGATGGATGGTAGCTGGCAGTGGAATCCAGAACGCACGTTTCGTCTTGCCAGATGGATGTACCTGCATCCCTGTGTTGATGTTTACTCCGGGACTAGGAACAAGTACCGCTCTCTTCAAACGCCAACGCGTTATCCACTTAGCTAATGTGTCTTAAAAAGTCCCAAAATAGGAAGAAACGCGCATCCTGAATTCCACTGCTAGCCACTATCCATCTTTACTTATGAAGATTGTGACCTAAGGCAATTCGAATAGGGTGCACATATGCGAACAAGAGACTGATCGATTGCAGTCCTAAGCAACAATTGGAAGATATATGCAAACAACACCAAGTGAATTCTAAGTGATTATCAATAAAAACCATACTGAGCTAACAATTACGTAAAGACGGGTTAATATGCTTACAAATTAAGTTATAGTCCTGGGTTTAAGCCTTGGACACTATCAGGAAATCCCATACTAAGACAAAATGCCTGTTTTCAGTGCTCCTTGAAATTTTATAATTTCTTAATCGAGCTCAATCTGTGAAAAATATATCGTCCATCAATAATAAATACATTGAGATTATTTTGGTATATTTTGATCTCTTCTTCACTTTCGACCTGGCATTGAATACATATAAGTATTTGTAGACAGATAAACATGAGAAATATTTGAGCTTTATCAAACATGAAAATCTATTTCCAGGTTAAATAAGGTTAGTGATTTAAGCTGATGGATTGATTCAATTAAATATTTCTATCGTTTCATTTACACAAAAAGAAATTTTAAAAATTTGGTTAATATGAATTAAAAGAACGAGAATCTCAAAGTGATATACATATATTTCATGGATTATTTTTTTTTAAAAAAATCATATAGGAATAGACAATAAAATGTAAGCAAAAACAAACAGTACCATGTTTTTAGTTAACTAAGCATAGCAACGACAACTTTTCAGTTATTTGATTTATCAGACCTTTGTATATGTAATACTCATTTTAACAATATGGCAAGCCCACATATCAATACATGTGAGTCAAATAATTTTTATTCATTTTCAACGAATACACTTTAGCTTTGATTTTTTCTAGTTTATTAATAATAAAGTGTTCTTTAAAGATTATGTTTTAAAAAAAGGTTTTCAACGTGTATTACGTAATTTCTTACTGACTTTATTGCTACATGCTTCTTAATAATTATTAATTACAATTAAGCTACCATTTAGATAAAGATTTTACAACAAAATAATATTTACCATAGAACTATTACAAAATAAGAAACACTGAATATTTAGTCCGTTTTACTTTCAGTATCTTTACCAATGCATTAGTAAAATTAAGATTGAATCCTTGACTTTCAGTCATTGGAAGGAATACAATACTTTGAAACTCATTGATTCATCTTTCGAACTTAATTTTTATGTTATACAGCTGCATTACTGTGGTACCGTTTTACTTGTCATTACGAAATTAGAATTTTAGTAAATTCATTTCGAACTTGGTCATTTGGTTGCGCATTACAGTTTTGTGAAAATCTTAATCTAATTTCAATAAACCACTT